CATTTTCTCATTCTAACTACTTATTTCGTATCTTAATCCTGTACTGTACATGCATAATCCGTGTCAAGGATTGAAATATTTTAATCTCTTTTATTATATAACTCACTTTACTAAAACGTTGACATTGTTGGCAACATTTTCTATTGCAATTACAATGAGATATATTGCTGCAATATCGTTATTCCATTACAAATTCGTTTATATTATATATGGAATCTAGTATTATATATTATATATATATATATACATATGGTTTTTGTATGAACAAAAATGAATTTTTAATGTTAAATAGAAGTATATGGGTTTAATTTCTTTTTAAGAAATTTATAAAAAAATCTATATTTATATGATTTTTTTTATTATCGAAAATGGAAATTGTACTAATATTGTCCTTGAATCTTCTACTTTGTCAATTGAGATGCAAGGTTTTTCGATTCGCGTACTAAGTGTACGCCACTAAAATTTTGGTGACCTGCCAAAAATATTAAACAAAATATTTTAAAGCTTTTATGGCGACAGTTTTGTAAACAAACTCTTTTGGGCAAAGCATAAACAATTTATTTAAATGGAAATAAAAAATTGATTTTAAATTTATTATTTACAAACAGATGCTTTATAAGTTTTTATTAGCCTATCAATTAAATTGGTTTTTTTTATTTTTTCTTCTTGATTTGATCTCCGAATGACTTGGTTTCTATTTTATTTATTTAATACTAGCTAAGTATTTGTACCAAAATGTACAAATTACATTACAATTAACATTACAATTGGTATGATTCGGAAGGCATTATTGCATTTCTTCATCATTGGGTGAAGCAGGTAATGAATCCGACATTTGACAAAACTATACATTTGAAAAAAAATATTAAAATTGGTTTTTTGTCCACTAACTGCAATTTTTATGGCACAGTTTCATCAGCTCTTATTAGCTCATCATTGATGATGTCATTCTGATCCTACAAAAATAAAAGATTACTTTAGAATCATGAATATTTCGCTCAAGCAACAATTTAGCTGGGTGATCCGATTTTACCTAGAATATTTGGTATAAAGAATTGTAATACTAGCTTGGTGGACCTTAGCAATCGAAAAGGAAAAGGAAAAGGAAAGGAAGATTAGTCTTATCTAGTTTTCTCTCTAGTCCTTTACAAAAAGTGCGAATAATGCTTTTATAACTTGGTTACTTCACCGAAGACACTGTTTTTCTCTATCTAGGAAGTCAGAGAAAAATGTTATCCGATTTTCTCGTCGATAGACGCCTTTTTCGATGAAGGCGTCTTCCACCCTGAGATCATGACAAAGGCAATGGAGTCTTTGAATGTTGTGTTGTTTGAGCAATGTCAATGACAAGCGAAAGTATCTGTAGGTCTTGGATTTTTTAAATGCGATAATTTTCGCCAACTTGTAGATAATTGGTTTTGTGAACAGATTTTCTCTAGAAGATTGCAATTGCTATCTATATTATCAACATTCTGTAATTATGCTCATACTTTTATGCCCCATAGAAGCGGTAGTATCATAAACGACTTAGGGAAAATAAGTTTCGTTAGTTAAGGGAGAGAGAGAGAGAGTTCCAGCTGATACTGGTAGGAATAATTCTACTATATGTTCGATTGCATATTTGGTGTTCTATATCTATAAGATCTTTCATGCTCACGATAACGAAGCCTGATTTGATGAAAGTAAATTTTTTGCGCCATATAGAAGCACAGAAGCATAGGATGCGCTGTGAGCGAGTTCTTGTGATTTTCATGTTGACATCGTAGTAATTGTTTATGATCTCTTCCAAGATTGGGAAGGGATCATAAACAATTGCCAAACCGGCTAAGTCACTGATAGTGCCAATGTCGTGCTAATGGTCGCATAATTCGTGTTATTTCCAGATGTGGCGTGGTACTGATAGCCTGTAAATAGTTTATGAAAGATCTTACAAAGAACTTTTCTCTCAAATGCCCGTAACACCTGCTTTATCATAGATAAAGCAGAAGCATAGAGTAAATGAGCGATACGTAGAGTAAAAATTTTATCGACCGAGAGAGACATCTAAACCTTATTGCCTACTGAGACTATATTAGCACATATTGGCAATGTACTAATATAGTCTGATTCTGAACGTTGTTGTTGTTTCATAAACAAAGTTATTCGCGGTCAAGTCCGTTTAATAAAGATAACAGATAATTTTCATTGATACTATATGTAAGCTAAGTAGCTGTTTTAAATCGAAAATTTTTATTTTATTTCATTACATCAAGTGTAGCAGAACATACATCAAACTTATCTCAATATGAAACTACATGTTTTAAAGATAAATGCATTAAAATGTTTGATTTAAATATTTTTCGTTTTTCGAGTTCAATTAAATTCTGTTACGGAGTTGATCATTTCATCGACTATATTTATACGCATCCTTTTGTGTTAAGTCCTTTACATAAACATGTGTACACATACGGACATTGTATTTTTGCACATACTGGTAAAATGTATTTGAGCTGTGCTCTTGAGCCAATTCACAAAAGCATTTTTACTGAAAATTCCATTAGTGTTGATGACTGAAAAATGTTGCAATAATGCTGATAAGCCAATATTGAGTGAAAAGCAGTCTTCATGTATATGACAAAGCAATATTCTTTGCAATCCTTTGTGCCCTCGTTTTTTACCCGACAATTTTTTAGTATTTTTTCCTTTCATTGCATAAATGTATGTTTCTTTTATTTTCCTTTATAATTGGGTAAAGCTTAGTTGACAGTTGAGCTCTGAAAACCTTGTGCTTCAGCGAAATGACATTTGCAAAATTGCCGGGTAACAGGATAGCTGGGATGTGCCCAAAGCAGCTGTCAACTGCAGCAAATTAAGATACGCTATTTATCTTTCAACTTTACGAGCTACATATGCACTCATATCATGGCATAATAATTTTTTATTACCATACCTACTCGCGAAGCAATTTAAAATAGGCTTCAATTTCAAATTGGCCTCACCGATTGAGCTCGCATAAAATTTTTAAAGGGCCTTTAACTTTAACTAAAAAAATGAAATGAAATTATGCACATACATTTATGAGTACGTATGTATATTATATACTTAGTATATAGTATATATGTATAGAGTTTAGTCTATAGAATCACGTGTGAATATTGTTTAAATAGAGTGGTTCCATTCTACAGCTAATATTGCATTAGCAGTGTATCTTTCTCACATGTGGGAGCTTACATGGCTTCGCTTTCTGATTGCTTTAATTACCAGCATAGAGATTGCACATCCTTTTGTTTCCACATATAGTAAAGTTTCGAAACATAAAGGATGCATGTTGGATAATACATGCTGCAATGGATACTTCATTCCCAGGCGTTATTTTAACTTAAATTTTTAATTTCGTTTACATTTGGTGATTCAATTTCAGTGCATAAAAGCCTGCCTGCCAGTTTGCCTGATACATGAAAGAAAATTAATGTTAATTAAGTTGTGAATTTTGCTGGTGTGCAAATTTGCTGTCTGCGCAAAGAAAGATAATTAGTTTTTATTGCTTTTAGTAAATTTCAGGAATTTTGAAAGCTTTTGCTAAGTAAAGGACATGCAGCAAACAGGAGACTCTATTTTATTAAAAATTTAATGAAACTTCCTTTATGCTTTGACAGATACTTTTAGCATTATTTATTAATACCATATAAAAGATTAAATAGGATAAAAGGAAAGTGATATTTTGAAGCTCAAACTACTGTCAAAAAAGAATTATTTAAGAACAGATTTTTACAAAAGTTGAATTTAAGCTGTAGTATTAACAGATTGACTATTTATATTGTTTTGGATCTGACATATAATTTTTACTGCTTTCGAAAGTAGTAGCTTTTATAAAGTAAAAGTCAAGCTAAAGTTCAAACCATGTTCTATTGAGCCAATATAAAAGCGATTCACACTGAAGTAATGCGAAAATTTTTCCGGGGATAATAAATCTTTCAGAAGAAAGGATAAAACGTCCGTATACTATATAGTAATATGTTAGGAAATCGGATACACTATCGATAGTTGGTTCCCAAACTTTTTTTCGACTGAGGACCACTATGATATTTATGTTTTTGTTAGAGACCATAAAGTTTAACATTGAGCATTACAATAGCTTCTGAGAAGTTCTAAAAAATGATCGGGTGTTACCGATATGTATCGAAATTGCTCAAGTATGTTCTTAATAATATAAAAAAACCAACTGAATACTATAATTATTATAGTTTTCGATTACTTTACTTTTGGTAAGTCCTCACTCTATATATTATATATATATTTAATTGCAAGCGACTAGTATCTGCATATAGATACTTCATGAACCCCAAAAGCAGAATCTTAAACAGATTCGGGTCGAAGATATGATTACTGAAAAATAGTTCTATTTAAAGATCTTGACAACTTATTCCAAAAGAACTGTATAGCTGAAAAAGTATAAAGTCAAATTCTAATACCGTACTTTGAGTTTTGTATCAAAAATTATTTAAGATCAACTACTAAAGCTTGGATTTGGAAAAAAGATGCCAAAGAACAATAGAAGTCTCAAGCAATATTTTGTGATGACTGTGATTATTGATTATCTGTAAATCAGTTACTTTGTTTGATGTATAATGGGTATAACTTATTTAAAATCTTATTATCTGAACTTTGTTAAATTATCATTTCATCTGATTTATTGCTTGTATTAAAGAAGTTCTGCTGATGTATAACAAGGATAATTTAACACAAATTTATTGAACGGAATTATATTCAACTATAATGTTATCTGATTAGTTATTTCCATTAAATCTAAATTACTATTATTGTGTCTTGTGTATTTAATAATGAATGGTTTTCTTATATATTTTCTTTTTAAAGTAAATTAATCTAATTTTTTACCACTATATATATATGTGATGTATATATGTGTAAATATTAAAAACTTTAATTATTTATTAATAAAATACTATAATGATTTTCGAAATTGTTGCTTATAAATTTGTTGCTTTTCTTTTCATTCACAGATTACTTTTAAAAACAACAAAAAGACATATATAAAGTAAGTTTAATTATTTATTTTTTTAAACTAATTTAATTGAAATTATTTATTTATTATTTTTAATATATTTATAATAAAATATTCCATGTTATAATAATATTTTTTCTACATTGAATAACTTAAAATAATTTTATATAAAGTAAGTTTATTTATTTCTTTAATACAAATTAAATTGAATTTATTTATTTATAATGTATTTATAATGAACAATATTTTTTATAACAATGTTAAATAACTTAAAATAATTTTATTTAAAATTATTTTTTTTAATACTAATTGAATTGAATTTATTTATTTATAATATATATAAAATGAATTGTTTTTGATTCTAACAATATTTTTTTTATATTAAATATCTTTAAATAATTTTAAAGCCTTTGCTGCACAATGCAATGTGCAGTTGACCTCTTGGCAATCTATAAATTCTGCTGGCATTACTTTCGGTGCTCTTAATTGGCACGGACGGAATCGTTAAGTGGAATTAAATGAAATCACAAAATGTTCAAATGGGTAAGGATCTTCCGTTAATGAATGTATAAGCTTAATCGCTTAACAGAGACGTACTCACAACTATTTCTGGTTATCTCTTTACGACTACTATTTACAAGCTCGTCTGTCTGTTGTCTGCCTACGTGTCTGCATTTTTAATTCCGAACTATTCGAGCTGTGAATGCCAAGGGCAGTGGCATTAAATATTCCTATGCGGTATGCAGTAAATTATGCTGCTGATACAATTTACAATTTACTGCATTGTTCTCATGTTGTGATTCTGCATTTATTCATGTGACACAAACGCTTTTGTCTACTTTAATTTTTTGTTTTTTTTTTTAAACTAAATTTAAAGTTTAAATACAATTGATTCAAACTAAGTTACCTTAAACTGTAGAAGTAGAGTACAGTAACTTTAACAGCGATTTAACAGTCAAGTTAACAGACTTGAACATATCTAACTAACAGTGTCTTAAACAATGCTGTTAAATTTTGTTTTAAAATAAATTGAACTGAACTTTTACTTGATTTTTAACCAAAATCCTTCAATTATTTTATAAAATAATGGTTGAATTTTTTTTCTATAAATTATAAAGCAATAACAATTCACTTATTGCTCTTAATATATAAAACATAAATAATATTCAAATTACTTAGTCATTTATATCAATGAAAATAAAGTTTTCGAGTGCTCATTTATTATAATAATGCCATTAAATTCCTTTTATGATTCCCCCCAGAAATTTCTTCTTTCTTAATTTTATTTCCTAAAGTCAATGAACTTTTTGCTTAAAGACATAAATTAAATTTTGCGAAATAAGAAAACAGAAGTTGAACTTCCCACGAGAAAATTAGTCCTAAATTGCCAAGGGAGTTAAATAAAAAGGATATATTATGCTAATTGTTGGAGTACAAAAGTTCGTTAGCTTTTCGTATTGTTTGTAATATTGAACATTTGCCAAAAAACTGAAGTTGTTAGAAAAACTTTTGGTTTACAGCCGAGCTCAACAAGGAATAATAGTTTTTGTGGGATTTTTCGTACAAAAATAAAAAAAAAATTTAGCAATTGTTGCAAAAATAAAATAATGACTAATTTGTTTATGTGAGAATAACTTTAATTTTTTCTATTTTATGTTAAAGAATTGAAAATGTTATTTTGTACAAAAATATTTACAATATGGACGATAGAACAAAGAGGTTGACTTATCGTAATCCTGATGATGACACTCAAGAAGAGTCGAAATATAGGCAAGAAGGGACCTACAGTTAGATTAAAAATATATAAAAAAACATTTTATTAAACAGGTCGACAAACAATAATAAATTTTTGTGGACTTTGTGTAGTAAAAAATATTTTGCTCCAAATTTAAAATATTAAATCATAAGCATTTGGCCAGGAAAACTGTACTCTGTCGAACATTGCCACCGACGCAGTTTTTGGTCAAAAATAAAACTACACAATTTAATTTGTTACAAATTTTGCAACAAAAACCAAAAAAAAAAAAAAAAGAAATATTAACAAAATTTACTGCTGCGTCCATGTGCAGTTGTTTTGGTTTTGGTAATTTTTAAAATATTGTACCAGACCTACTTGTACTTGTACGGCTTCCCCAATACAAAGCCAATGAATTAAATCGAGCCAACGCTCGATTGTTTATGCATGTATTTAGCAAGAACTAACAAAAAATTGTGGTTTTCAATTTTGAATTAAGTTGTACTAAGTCCCTTTAAGTACCCACAATTTCATGTTTGATTTTTTTCTATCTGAAAATTTAAAAATTGTTTAAATGTTGTTACTTCGAATGCTTACAGATATTTGCTATTCACACATGTGAGAAAACTATATGAACGTTGTTCATAGTACTTTGCAGTGTACGTAGTACTTTTGTTTTGAAGTTTGTTTTAATTCTTTCCTATGTGAGTTTCACCAAAACATACCAGTAATTTTTGAACAAAAAAAAAACATACTCCACATAAACTAACAAACTATCCGACAGATAGACATGTTTACTGATGAGCTGCCAAAAAGGATTTACTTCATTTATTCATTTGTACTCATGTTGTTTATGTCGGAGTTGTGAGTTTCGTTTGCTTGGTTGGTTTTAAGCAAAATTTCATATGTCATACAGGGTGATATTGTTAGATACAGTGTTTATATGTTCACAATAATTAGCTTGAGAGATATTAAAACAACAAATCTCCTTATTGAAATCTTATGGAGATTGTATAAAAAGTTTAGAAAATTTTATAAATGGATACGTTATTCTAAGAGCCATGTTATGTAGAGTGCCATGGTCTCATCATGATCAAAATTTTGGTTATTTTCAATGCAAATTATTAAATTGAGAGTGAGAAAAAAAAATAATATATGATCATGAGCAAAATGGTTGTTATTTTCAATACCAATTATTAAATTGAAAGTGAGAGAAAAAAAATAATGTATCGGATAGCCTCATCCCGAGAGGCGAAGCTATCGGTGTTTCGTGTACTTAGGCAAACCAGTGTTTTTCAGTAAAATATATCAACACATTTGTCTTTTAAAAGTAAAGTGTTACAATTACTGTAACACTTCACATAGCATGTATTTTCGTCAAAGCTCAAAAGAAACAATTTTCACGAGACCATGACATTCTACATAACATGACTCTAAGAAATCTGTAACAAGTCGGAGTAATATAAAACTCTTAAATAATTTGTTCTAGAGTTTTTAGAAAAATATATTAGCATGTGAAATTTCAAAATCAATCATATATATGACTGTATATATATATGTGAAATCTTTATGTAAAATACAATCTTGCTATATATCACAGTAGTAATTGTCACAATAATTAATTTGAGAGTTTTAAAGAAAATATATAGAGTTCTCATAGCGTTTCAATCGAGTTTAAAGAATTCTATAAAAAGATAGGCTTTACTACGAAATATTTAGCTAGTTAGATTAATATAAAAAATCTCTTGACTTATTAGTGCAGGACTTTTTAGAAAAACATATTTGCATATGAAGTTCAATAATCAGTCATATATATTAAAAAAAACAATTTTGCTGTTATACATTAAATTTTCCTACTAAATTGAAAAAATATTAATTAAGAAGAAGAAGTAAGCTTATAAGCACTTTAATTCAATTGCAGCTAGCATTAAACTAATCTTATATATAAATAAAAATAAAATAACTTAACTAAAATAATAAAGGACCAAATTTTTATTTATCACAATCAAAAAAGTGAAACAAAAATACGAAAAGTGCCATTTAACTGCAATAAAAAGACAAAATAATAATAAAAAAATAATAATATTATACATTCGGTACAAATTTCTCCAGGAAAAGGCTCTGTAAATGTTTTCATTGTTATAAAGCAGATAAACTATGAATACACAAGCTATAAAACATCAATTACAATAAGTATTAATCAGTCAAATATCAATGTCGACTTCAAATCAAAACAGAATAAAAGTTCGATGTGCCTATATAATTTGACTTATTAATTATTGTCTTTCTTTGGAAATAATCATCGTTCTTTTATATGGAGAGTAATGCATCAAAGGTTGCCTTTATGTATTTATAATGAAAGTTAAAAAGAAACTCAAGTTACTAAACATCATAAAAGGTTTTAATGGGAGATAAATGTGGTCAGGTCAAGTGAATTTCTATTATTTTATAAAAACAAAATGGAACTCATATAAATCTCAATTCTTTTAGAGCGAGAAAATAATATCTATTTATGTAGATATAAGTAGTTGTTCATCTCATTAGAAGACGTGTTTGATTTAGACCCTTTATGTGGTTCCATGGTGTTATCAAAAAAAATAAAAGAGAACTCATATAAGTCGCAATTCTTTTAGAGTGAGAAAGTTATATTTACTTTGATTTAAGTTATTCTTCATCTTATAAAAAAACGTGCACAATTTAGTCCTTATATGTGGTTCCATGGTATTACTCACAAAATCCAAACAAAACTCATATAAGTCGCAATTCTTTCAGAGTGAGATAATAATATCTATTTATATTTATATAGATTTATATTTATATATATTTATATTTATATATATTTATATTTATAAGTAGTTAGTCGTCTTATATAGAAGACCCGCCCTATTTAGACCCTGTTAACTGTTACCACAGTTGAGCAGATGCCAGCTGTTTAAAGGGACAAAGGTTGAAATAAAATTTCCTTTGAATATTCAGACTATATGATTAGACAAAAGAAATCTTAGCTATTTTACGAATTTAATGTTGGTGGTAGTAGTAATGGCATTGTACTCTTCTAGCTTCGAAGTGATGCTTTCCCAATTTGTTTATGTTATAGTTTTCTATATCTTGTATAAGTAACATGTGCTTAGTTTAATTTATGTACGCCTTTACTTCAATTTGTCCAGTTTAATCGGCAGGTTCCTGCTAGAGAGTTTTAATAAATAGATTCCTCCTTCTATATTACATTTTTATATCACAATAGTAAGTCTTTCGACTGTTAAGGTTCGCTTAAACAATTAATATAAAAAAAATTTAA